AGCCCACGAGCCCGGCCCGTTAAGCCCAGGACCATGTGGGCTTAGGCCCGTCACGGGCCGGTTTCACCCGTTGAGCCCACGAAGCCCGGGACCGCCAGATCCCAGGCCCACGAAGCTCGGCCCGTTTGGCCCACGAAGGCCCGGGCCCGGCCCAGAATACAGCACTACTCCAGGTGATGGAGCTTTGTTCAGTTACGTGTGGAATTTCTGGAAATAATGAATTTGAACGAGAACACATCATTGGCCTTTCTATAAATTAAAGATCGTTGTGCGGTGAAGAATTGTTATGCAGAGATTGCCTACTTTAGAGACATTTTTATTTTTAAATATTCTAATTCAAGTTTTGTTTATACAGTCAAACCTCTCTATAATCTCATTTGTTCCGATATTTTTTGGCTGCTATAGTGAAGTGATGTTATAGAGGATATAGATTATAACATAACGTAAAAATCGGTTTCGAGAAAAATATAACTTTTTATAGTGAATGATTGTTATATAGGGATGTTTGTTATAGAGAGATACGTGTATTCTTACTCTACATTTTATCTAACACACAACAATACATACGTTGGTGCATAGTTATGCCAGCAAGTAATGCAGAGTTTGAAAATGGAAACTATATGCTGCAATAGAGTGGTATGCCGAAACCAAACACATCAATTATACAGAGGTTGAATTAGTACTTGTTACAAAGCAAAGCCATATTAGTTATGCCTAATCATTCTAAAAGAAAAAGAAAAAAAAACTAAATTAGTCATGCGAAATTTTGTATAGGGATTTTTTCTTCTTTCTTATACTTTAAACAAATCGACTCTCAAGAGTGTTATTGATATGAATACTAGAGTTTGATTCCCCATCCGTTCGTCGGTATTCTTACCCTAATATCTTTTGTTCCTTGTTTCTTCTTTGCAAATATTATACACTATAACCAAGTTGACAAATGAGGTCATATTTGTTGAGTGCAGTGGCATAATTGATGTGGTTAGTGGTGTAACATAACTTAACCATATTTTAGAAGACTATAGTTAGCTAACCATAGTTAGTAGTTAGTTATAGTAGTTAGACTTGTATAAAAAGGACACGTTACTATACAGTCGTCAATAACAGAAATGAAGATTCATTTTCTTCCTCAGCTTTCTCTTCTCTGTTCTCAGCTGCGATTGCTACCTTCTTCTAAACTCTATCTCGTTTCACAAATTTAACATGGTATCAGAGCAAATTACTAAGCAATTCTAGGGATTTCTTTGTAAAGTCGAAGTAATCGAGGGAATCAACTTCAATTTTTCCTTAATTTCTTTAGTTTCTTTCAAATCGGGAATGATGATCTGTGATTGGAACCCTAATTTTGCTTCAATTGTGTAATTGCGAGTAGATTTCTGCAATTTTTCATGGGGATTGCTGATGATTCCGGCAACACCACCACCACAGCAGTAGCACCGACTGGACCTGTGAATAGTGGGAACTTCTTTCTAGATCATAATCACTCACTCTACTTACATCCATCTGATGGACCAGGTTCGTTGTCGATTGGTTTGTTATTAACTGGAATAGAGAATTATACGTTGTGGAGTCGAGCTATGAAAGTAGCTCTTCTAGGAAAGAATAAACTCTGTTTGGTAGATGGTACTACCTCGAAAAGTGATTTTGGACCGGGATTAGCTCATCAGTGGGATCGCTGTAATGTCATTGTTACTTCGTGGTTGATGAGCAACGTTAATTCACACCTCCTTACTGGTGTTCTATTCTCAGAGAATGCTTAACCTGTTTCGGCATAACTTAAGGAACGATTTGACAAAGTAAATGCATCGAGGCTTTATTACTTACACAAAGAAATTTTTACTTCTACATAGGGGATATCGTCTGTTTCTGTTTATTTTACAAAATTAACTGACCTTTGGGCTGAATATGATGCTATATTATCGCCACCTCCTGTTAAGAATTATGTTGAACAATTGGAATTTCAGAGGTTATTGCAGTTCTTAATGAGGTTGAACGACATTTTTGAGCAAGTTAGAAATCAAATTTTGATGATGCCTAATGTCTCTTTCATTAATCAAGCTTATGTTTATGATAGTTCAAGATGAAAGTAGGAGAATAATCTCAGGCAACCATTTCAACACACATACATGATAGGTTGAGCCTACGGCTATGTTCACCACACAGTTAGGGAAAAAGCCAAGGAAGAACTTCATCATAGAATATGAGTATTGTCACCAGAAGGGGCATAAAAAGGTAGGCTGCTACAAGTTGATGAAGCGTGAATTCTGTAACAAATAAGGTCATTCGAAAGATAATTGCTATAAAATAGTGGGATATCTACCTGACTTTAAGCCTAAGAGAAGAGCTAATGCATAACAAATAGAAAGCAATGTCCCACAAGAAACAAATAAAGGAGTTCCAACACACATGTTCACAAATGAACAACATTCTCCGATCCTACAACTATTGAACAAAAGCTCGATTGGTGAATTAAGTGGCACTATGACAGCAATGACATGTACATTTCTTTATAACAATATTAGCATTCCTAAGTGGATTATAGACACAGGAGCTACAAACCATATGATAGGAAATAAAGAATTGTTGCACCATGGAACACAAACAAGAAAATGCGGGACAAGTTCAACTACCAATAGGGGATTCTGCCAAAATTACTCATATAGGGGATTGTCAATTGTCAGGAGGTGACACTATTAAGAATGTTCTATGTGTTCCTGCCTTCAAGTTCAATCTTTTGTCTGTCTCCAAGGTGACAAAAGATCCAAACTGTTTGCTTCTTTCTTCCCTATATTTTGTGTATTTTAGGACCTCTTGTCTGGGAGGATGAAGAAGATTGGTATGGAGGAAGATGAGATGTACACCATGACCTAAATGGAGTCACAAAACAGACCGCATTCTTGCAAAGCTTTTGCAGTTATCAAACAAGGAGATCCAGATATATGGCCCTAGTGAATGGGACATGTACCTCTTCCAGTCCTTAGAAAATTACGATATTTCAGAAATAATATAGACTTTAATAATGCTCATAGGTGTGAGATTTTCCCTTTGGCAAGGCAAACTAGAATGCCATTTCAACTAAGTACTATTAGAACTGTTGAACCTTTTCAGCTAATTTGCATGGATGTTTGGGGACCTTATAAGGTTACTACATATAGTGGAATAAAGCTTTTTCTTACATTGGTGGATGATTACACTAGATAGACTTAGACATTTCTATTGAGATTGAAATCTGATGTAGTTTTCATACTAAAAGACTTCCTTGCTTTGATTAAAACTCAATTTGGCAAGTCTGTCAAGATGTTTAGATCAGATAATGGAAGTAAATTTTTCAATACTCATTGTAGAGAACTATTTCAGTTGCATGGGTCCTACATCAAAGTTCATGTCCTTACACACCCCAACATAATAGGGTAGTAGAGAGAAGACACAGACATATTTTAGAAATTACAATTGTTATCAGATTCCAAGGCCATCTACCAGCTAGAGTTTGGGGAGATTGTATTGAGACAACTGTATATCTTATCAATAGAGTGCCCTCCACTATTCTTGACAATAAATCGCCATTTGAATTGTTGTATCACAAACAGCCTTCCTTATCTCATCTAAGGATCATAGGATGCTTGTATTTTGCTTCTTTACTGCCTAAAACTAATAAGTTTGGGCCTTGAGCTGTAAAGTGTGTGTTGTTGGGGTATGAAACACTTCAAAAAGGATACAAGCTACTTGATCTTGAGCACAATGTATTTTTCATCAATAGAGATGAAACATTTTTTGAAGAAGCATTCCATTTTCAGAATCTAGAAGTGGGGACTGATCAGTCTTTTCTAGATGATCTGGATATGAGATCATTTCCTAATCATAATGGTGTAGATCATGAGGCTTCTCTTCCTCTTGCATGAGCTCCTGCTGCTGACTCATTCTCAGACTTATCGAAATGCCTCTTCTTCCGAGAAAGCACCAGTGCCTAACTTAGACCAGGGGAATCCGGAGTCCCTTCCAGGAACTCCTGCATCAGCTGTAGCTTCTGAGCCAAATGAACCATCTATTGATGATGTTAGAAGATCAAGCAGGATTCCTAGACCTCCTATCTGGCTTAAGGATTATGTTAGAGTTGACAAAGCGGTACAAACCAATAATTGTAGATATCCCATAACTAATGTCATAGGGTATGATCACCTGTCTCCCAAGTACCAAAGCTACTTATCTCAGCTTTCATATGAACAAGAAACCAGTAGTTACTATGAGGCTGCAAAAGATAAAAGATGGATTGAGGCTATGCAAGCAACAATAAAAGCATTGGAGGATAACAAAAATTGGGAGATAGTGTCCTTGCCCCCCTAGGGAAGAGAACCATAGGATGAAAATGTGCGTATAAGATTAAGTACAAGGCAAATAGAGAGGTTGAAATATTCAAGGCACGACTTGTGGCAAAATGGTACAACCAGAAGGAAGGATTGGATTAACAAGAAATATTCTCACCAGTAGTGAAGATGGTAACTGTCAGAAGTGTAATTGCTTTAGCTGCTGCCAACTATTTGACAATCTACCAAATGGATGGTTACAATGCTTTTCTACAAGGTGATTTAACTAAAGAAGTGTTTATATGCATTCCACCTGGCTTTGCAGTCTCTAACGACAAGTCATTTTTATGTATAATGTACGGGCTTAAGCAAGCATCTCGACAATAGAATATCAAACTCACTACAGTACTCCTTGCCTCAGGATTCCAACAGAGCCACCTAGATTACTCTTTGTTCACAAAAAGAACTTCAAGGTAGTTGATAGTGATCCTAGTATATGTAGATGACCTCATTATTACTGGAGATGATCTACAGCTAATACAAAAGACCAAATCACAGTTGCAAGATAGCTTCAAGATCAAAGATTTGGGAGAGCTAAAATATTTTCTAGGAATTGAATTTGCCAGAAGTGGAGAGGGCATTTTGATGCATCAGAGGAAGTATAACTTGGAGTTAATAGTTGATTTGGGTCTATCGGGTTGCAAACCTGTTACTTCATCCTAGAGTTGAATGCTAAGTTGACCACATTGGAGTTTGATACCCACACAGGTTCTACAACTGATGACACTCTACTAGAGGATCCTAGGTCATATCAAAGGTTACTTGGTAGATTGATGTATTTGACAATCACCAGATCTGACATCTCTTTTGCAGTTCAAACTTAAGTCAGTTTATGCACAGTCCCAAATAATCTCACATGGAAGCTCCCTTCAGAATTTTAGAGGTATGTTAAACATTGTCTTGGTCTAAGGTGTTAATGAAGGCTGAATGTTTTGGATCTCTATCATTCTTCTGTGATGCTGATTGGGCAGCATGTCCCAACAACAGAACATCTATAACATGATACTTAGTGAAGTTTGGTGACTCACTTATTTCATGCAACAATTTCCAGAAGTTCTGCTGAGGTAGAGTACATGAGTCTTGCCTCGACTGTAGCTGAGATTGTTTGGCTCGTTGGTATGCTTAAAGAGTTAGGGGTTCATCAACAAACTCCAGTTCCTATTTACAGTGATAGCAAGTCAGCAATTCAGATTGCTGTCAATCATGTCTTTCATGAACGGACCAAACACATAGACATGTGCTTGAAAAGTTTCAATCGGGGTTGATTCACACTGTCTAAGTTAACACCGCTGATCAACAAGCTGATCTTCTCACTAAAGGCTTGAGCATGTTGCAACATGGCTACTTATTATCCAAGCTAGGGATGGAGAATAACTTTACCTCCTCTAGCTTGAGGGTGGGTGTTGAGTGTAGTAGTATAAATGATGTGGTTAGTAGTGTAACATAACTTAACCATAGTTTGGAAGACTATAGTTAGCTAACCATAGTTACTAGTTTGTTATAGTAGTTCGACTTGTATAAAGAGGACATGTTACTGTATAGTTGTCAATAACAGAAATGAAGATTCATTTTCTTCCTCAGCTTTCTCTTCTTTGTTCTTAGCTGCGACTGCTACCTTCTTATAAACTATCTCGTTCCACAAATTTAACAATATTATACACTATAACCAAGTTGAAAAGGAGGTAAAAAAACGAGTAGAAAAACTCTAATAGTCTACTCACTACTCCACAAATCTATTCCACAAATCTAATAGTTTTTCTGCCTCTAATAGTCTACTCACTACCTACTAGAAAAACTCCACCAAGATAGAGGTAAAAAACGAGTAGTTTTTCTGCCTCTAATAGTCTACTCACTACCTACTAGAAAAACTCCATCAAGATAGATTGAATCGGCGATATATACTTCAATTAAAGGCATAAGAGCGCAGCGAGAACATAACAAAAGGAAATGCATATGGGTGTCCTTATTGACACACCGGGTCAAACTCTTCCCTTGGAACAGTAATAACAAAAAAGTACAGAATTAGAAAGTGCGAAGAAAAGAATCGCGATACTAGTAATAGTGATACAGGTGATGAGAAGGGCAAACAAAAAATAATTAAAAACCCAATTCTTAGACGAAAGTACAGTAAATTCCCATTCAATGTTTACTGCTGGAGTAGATCGTCTAAGTTGAAGAAATTGAACCCAATAGTCACAGAACACTTCTGCTAGAACAAGTACCATGGATTAATACTAAAAGAAATACATTTCTTTACTGAAATCTATGTAGAACAAACGCCATAGACCAAAAATGTGCTGAACAAATGATCTTCACTGAACTGATATTAACATGGTTAAAATATCATACTTGTATCGAAAGGTTCACTCCTATCAAACATCCTGAAAGGAGGAAAATAGCCTGTTAGATTATCTACTTCCAGGGATTAAATTGGCCGACACATGTATCGACTTTTCAAACCCTCAGGTCTCTGGCCTTCACTTCCTTTATGCATGCCTGTGTCATTAATGTCATCAGTAAAATCATCACTAATATTGACCAAGTTATTGGATGACCTATTCTGTACGCTCAATTGTCGGGGGATGAAAACATTGAAGTAATAGTTGACGATGGTTTTCCTAGTCTTTTGTGGTAATGACTTTACTGCATGCTTCAGAAAGTTCTTTCCACTTGGTTGTGGTTTCCTTTTGACCAATGACTCAAAGGCCGCTTTATCCTTGGATGACCATGCCTTCGAAACTTGCTCTCCCATTTCATCAAATTTCCAACTGAAGAAAGCAGGGCCAAGGTCACGTTGCAGAATTAGCCTTTCCTCAAGAATGTGGCGATTGACACAGTTAGTGGTTCCTGGAGACCGACAAGAGCAGGAGTGAGGTCTCCCTTTTCCAATTGGTCTAGAAGAGACTTCCATGTGCCCGATTTCAATAGGCCAAACTAGGGTGCCTAACCATCTTGAATCTTCAGAGTCAATGGCTTTACTATTAATGTCATCCTTGTCTGCTAGTTCCGTCCAGTCTGGAACTTCAGCTTGGAAACGAGGCCCAACTGGAATAACAAATCTCTGAAGGTGGTCGCCAATGAAGTTCAGCAACCTGAAGGATTGACGAGGTGGTTGTAGAGATCTGCTTCTTGATCCTTTCATAGACAACAAGCTTGAATTATGAATTGCATCATTCAAGGCCAGCAAGGAGGCAACGGAAGGGGTCCGATTATCACGACTCATCAGGTCTGAACCATTTACTGACTCGTCAGAATCAACTAAGGAAGATAAATCCTTGCTGGTAGGAGCAAAATCTTTTGCATCATTCTGGAGGGAGAATTCTGAAGATAACTGCTCTTGAAAATTGTCCTCAAATGCCAGTAAACTACATGCACTGTGCGAAGTTGAGAAATTCTTTTGGCGAGAACTTTTTGCAGAGTTAACTGAATTAAGCAGGCATGAAATACCGGAGGCATGAGAAAAATGCCCTTGTCCTCTACGTAGTTTTGATTTACTTTTCTGGTTAAATTTCTCTGCTGGAAGTCCAGGAGCAGATCTCAACTGATCTTTCACAAACTGTTGAAGTTTTCTTTTCTTCTGTCAAACGAATCAAGAAAATATGTTATTAACAGTATGGCAGAATTACAGCAAAATGGGAGGGGAAAAGAACCATTTGATGTTGCTCAGGAACTTATGAGAACATAATTTTTTTCAACTAAATCAGGGTGATGTCCTGAAGGATGAAAATTTCCGAAACTAATTTTCAGACGCTACAGAATTCAAGAGAACCACAAGAACATTGATATTCAGTCTCACTCATGATATGATACATCAAGAACACAAAATGGAATTGATCTTGCTGTTTAGCTATACTGCAAAGACATGGCGGGGTAAAAAGCGGCTGTATCCTCAAGTAATCTCTATTTCCTATTTATTTACATGCATGCAGCCTTTCCCTCTTATCCATTCTGTCCAAGCACTGGTGACAAACTTCAGATTACTGCTAATGGCTCCTAACCTTCAGAAGTATCAGTTAAACCCCAAATATTCACGAAATAGGCCTCGAGGGAAAGGAAGGTGGATCGATGTTTGGAGCTGAAGGAGGTACATGTGCATTTGCATACAATTGTTTCAAAATTCATCAGCAATCCCTTTGGAAAATGTGCTTGTTCATCCAATTATAATTCGTTCATTCACAAGGAAATGTATACAAAACCCACAGTAAATGATTCACTAAATGCCTCTCAATGAGGCATAATGATTTGGAGTACAAGTCTAAACCAAACTACTTCCACAGCGAAAGAGAATTAGTATTAGCCTCATACATTGGTTTTGACAAACTTATCAAATCTACGGATGCAGATGTGCATCTATCTATACAAGGAAGAAACAAACAGTCATCAGTGCAGGGGGAAAGGCATGCTTGCAGTTTTATCCATCAATTGGATTACTTGTACCTTTTAGTGGTTTAATACAGAATCTATGAGCATTTACAAAATTGTATCTTAGTTTGTTTTTGACTTTCAATTCTTCACATGATCGCACCCAATGGAAGTTGATAAGATCTATGGTTATTATCTACAACTTCCTTTGCCTTCCTTTTAGCAAGCAACAAACAACAACAACAACCCAGTATAATCCCACAAGTGGGGTCTCGGGAGGGTAGTGTGTACGCAGACCTTACCCCTACCCCGAAGGGGTAGAGAGGCTGTTCCGAAAGACCCTCGGCTCAAGATAATAAAAAGACTAAAGGAAAGAATATTAAATTCACCACGGAGATCATAGGGAAAAAGGAACATAAAATGCAGAAGAAAAATGCAAAGCAAAAACGATGGCTATTAAATGGATCCTGCGTCGAAAGTAGAAAATAGTAAGACATGACACTGCCCCTAGCTATCTTAGACAAAACTCCACCGGAACTAGGCTCACAAAGGTATAAAGTAACGCAAGACTCAACAACCTCCTAGTCTACAACCGTAATACTCGACCTCCACAACTTCCTATCAAGTGTCATGTCCTCGGAAATCTGAAGCGCCTGATCACCTCTCCCCAATACTTCTAAGGCCGCCCTCAACCTCTTCTCGTGCCTTCCACGACCAGCCGCTCACACCTCCTTACTGGAGCATCTGGGCTTCTCCTCTGTACATGCCCGAACCATCTGAGCCTCGCTTCCCGCATCTTGTCATCAATAGGAGCCACGTGCACCTTCTCCCGAATGTCATCATTCCTAATCTTATCCATCCTAGTGTGCCCGCTCATCCACCTCAACATCCTCATTTCTGCTACTTTCATCTTTTGGATATGTGAGTTCTTAACAGGCCAACACTCAGCCCCATACATCATGGCCGGTCTAACCACCGCTTTATAGAACTTACCTTTGAGTATCGTTGGCACTTTCTTGTCACACAAGACTCCAGATGCCAACCTCCACTTCATCCATCCTACACCAATACGGTGTGTGACATCCTCGTCGATCTCCCCTCCCCCGTGGATAACCGAACCAAGGTACTTGAAGCTGCCTCTACTTGGGATAACCTGGGACTCAAGCCTCACATCTACGCCCACTTCTCCCGGCCCAGCGCTGAACTTACACTCGAGGTATTCCGTCTTCGTTCTGCTTAGCTTGAAACCCTTAGACTCAAAAGTCTGTCTCCAAACGTCCAATCTCTCGTTAACACCGGCTCGTGACTCATCAATCAGAACTATGTCATCAGCGAATAGCATGTACCATGGCACCTCCCCTTGAATATGGTTTGATATCGCATCCATCACCAGGGCGAATAATAACG